AAACTCAACATCCAGCACCATAACCAAAAACATGCTTCACGCACACCCAAAAATCATACAACAATCGTTCACGCACACAAACACACACACACTAACGCACGCCACATTTAGCACACACCAGCCCTAGGCATGGCGAGCGTACATCAAAAAAACATATTGCAACAAACATTTTGAAGAACATGCATCACTGGCAATCACTGGCCATATATACCAACACCACGAAACAACACACACACACGCCTCAATAAGAGATACCGCGACCATATGGCATACGCCAGCGACATCACCAGGCACATGTCGCGAGAATGGTTCAATAACCGAACTCAAATCAAGGACGCCACTCGCACGCGGCAATCATAGGAACAAAAAGTGCACGTCGAACATACCGACAGCACGCACCAACAACCTGCATCAACCACGCACACCAACACCAAGCATCACTTCCACACGCAACAACACACAGCAGCAAGCACCACTACACCAGTAATACCCCTCATCCGTGGATTATAATGTTTCGCGGGTACCTCAAACGGCATTCCCCCCGCCCTGGTCTAACTCGAATATAGTCTCGACCCAAATCAAAATTCTAAATGCTCCGGTATTTCCCTATCTCTCTGTCCTTTTCTCTCTCTCTCTCTCTCTCTCTCTCTCTCTCCTCCTCATCTATTTATCTCTCGCTGCCTCCTCTCTTCTCTCTCTCTCTATCTTTATCTTTCTGTTATCTCTCTCTTCTCTTTGTCGTTATCTTCCCCGCATCCCTCTCTCTTACTCTCTCTCTCTCTCTATTTTTTTCCTCTCTCTTCTTATCTACTCCCCTACCATCTCTATCATTCCTCTACTATCGCCTATCTCCTCATCTCTCTCTCTATACCTCATCTCTCTGCTATATATAGAATTTATTTATTCTATCTCATATCTGTTTCTTCCAACTGCGCATCTAGATAAATATATATATAATATACATACATACAATGCACACATACCAAAAAACAAAACACACACTCACATTATTTTTAAATTTATATATACACACAAACATACATTACATACATACAAACACATACAATTAATTACATACATACATAATGACGTATGGTGTTTATGTATGTATTGTTAATGTATTGTATGTATAGTATAGTATATATTATATATATCTATATATCCATAAGATATATAGATATATACGCAAAGTCCCCCCACACCACAAACAACACACCACACACCCACACGGCACCCACTCTTACCAACGTTCCGTTCCTCATCGCCATCGCCCTCTCTTCCTGCGGATCGCCCTTGAGGGGCAGCGCGAGCTCTGCTCGAGTGGCTACGCGGGCCAAGCAGCAGAATCGTCGCACAGAAATGTCGCGGAGACGACGCTCAGAAGACTTCAGTAGCACGACTGGCGTGATCAATTGACTTCCTAGACCAGCCTTGAGCCCTTCACCCCTGTAGTCTCTGGTTTCCTCCTCCCCCTTCCCCTCCCCCCCCCCCCCCCCCCCTTCCTCCGTCCTCCTCCTCCGCCTCCCCTCCCCGTCCTCTCTCATCCTCCTCCTCCTAACTCCTCCTACTCTCCTCCTCCTCCTCCTCCTCCTCCTCCTCCTCCTCCTCCTCCTCCTCCCCTCCTCTCCTACTCCTCCCTTTCTCCACCTTCAACCCTCACCCTTCCCACTCCTTCACCCATTGTCCTCCTCCTCCTCCCCCGCCCCCCTCCCCCTGGCGCATCGTCTTCCTCGCCCTCCTCATCCTCCGCCTCTTCCTACTCATCCTCACCCGGTCGGTTCACGTTTTTTGTTTGTTCGCCCACCTCCCTCTCGTCAGCCGTCTCCCCTGCCCTCCCGCGTCAGCATGCCCTTTTGGTTCAAGCATGCTTGTTCCTACCGTCACGCCAGCCTCTTTGAAGACGGCTCTTGAAAAGAAGCGGATCGCGAACGCGAGCAGAGCACGGGTCAGGGCGGCAAAGAACTTCCTCAACAAGCCTCGGGCGAGGCATGACTTGACAGAAGCGGCGAACGAGTACAAGGTGCAGTCGCGGAAGACCCTATGCGATGCTTTGGCCGTCGAGCTCCACGCGCAACGACGCGCGCTTCGACGACCTCGCCGAGAAAAAACAGAGCTTCCAGAAGGAGCCTCGACAAGGCGAGCGCGCAGTCGAAGGGGCAGAAAGAGGAGCCCAAGCAGCTGCAGGACGCGAACAAATAGCTGGCAAAAGGAGAACGACAAGCACGAGAAGCGCCAGCAGGACCTGCCGGCTAAGCTCGACGAGGCCAGGGTCGCACTCAGCACCCTCCGCTCCAAGCAGGCGCGCTTCAACTACTGGGCAACGCCCCAGGACAAGAAGCGCTGGGCTTGGCTGTCCTTGGGCCCCAAGAAGTGGGTCTCGAGGGGCAATTCATCCCTTCGGGATGGCTGCTGCGGCTCGCAGCAACGAGCCTGCACGCATCTGGCCAACAAAAAAAAAACGCACATGCTAACGCATTGAACCGCCTGGCCTGTGCACTTCCGCCCAAGCTCCGCAGACAACGTTCGGCTCTGCTTCAACGCGCCCCAGAGCTGGGTGTCTCTAGCGGCGCTGGCCACCGGCAGCGCGGGGGAGGGGCGCGCGCGCGTCTGCGCGTGCGTGCGTGGGGGGGGGGGGGGGGGGGGATCTTAAACAAGATCCCCCTTGTCAAGGTAGGGGGGTCTTAAACAAGACCCCCCCCTGTCTGGAGATACTGAGCTAAACGCCGTCGCTGCCTGCGCCGCCCGCAGCTTGCCCTCTCTCCCCGTCGCGAGCGCGACAAGCTCAAGTTTGCTGCGTTCTAACCTTGCAGTCGAAAGCCCGCTGCCATGGCGAACGCATCGGCCACGGGGACGA